TTAAAGAGAAGGTTTGTTTTCTTGGCTGTCACAATTTGTTCAATCCATGAGAGGTTAGCTTTTGGACTGCATCTGCATGTGTTAACGTTTTCCGGTTATTTGTGTGCTCAGAAATTATTTTTGAATGAATTATATAGGGAGATTGCTTTTTTGGTATAAGATATTTTCAGGGTATTTTTACTGACATCTGCTTATGACAATCAGATGACCAAGGCTGATTTTATCAAAAATAACCGAGGCATTGATGATGGCAAAGATCTTCCAGAAGAGTATCTTGGCGCGCTTTATGAACAAGTTGTCAAAAATGAAATAAAGATGACTTCAGATTCTTCTGCTCCAGAAAGCAAGCAGTCCAATGGCCTTAATAAACTACTGGGGCTGGATGGTATACTCAATCTGGTTTATTGGACACAGACAGAAGAGAAAGCGGTAGGGGCTAATGGTCTTCTAATAAAGCATATTCAAGAAAAGTTCAGGTCGAACTCTGCCAAATCCGAGTAAGCTCATTTACCTTTCTTTTAAGGTGTAGTGTGAAATGCCTGTGTAGGCTCATATTCTTTGGAGAGAGTGGCAGGAAACGATATGACTAGATAGTATTGATAAAAATGGTATATCGACTGATTGTTCTTAGTATGATGCTGCTGATCGAGTCAGATTACCTATAAAATTAGTGGACGAAGCTGAAAACTAGCTCTCCTGTTACGTAAATAAACCATATTTACCCTTTAGTTTAACTTGTGTATTCCTGATAATCTATATTTTACAAAGGATTAAGGTTGAAAAATAACTTGGATTCTTTTCTCGGTCTTGTAGATCAGCTTACCATGTCGTCACAGATGTTGCAATATTGCGTTTTATGGTTGAAGTTTCCTGGGGACCAATGCTTGCCGCATTCAGCGTTACACTTGATCAGAGTGATGACAGGCTTGCTGCAGTTGAATGCTTACGGGGCTTTCGATATGCTGTTCATGTTACAGCAGTTATGGGTATGCAAACGCAAAGAGATGCATTTGTTACTTCCATGGCCAAGTTTACAAATCTCCACTGCGCAGGAGATATGAAGCAAAAGAATGTCGATGCTGTTAAAGTAAGTTTTTTCTTATGGAAATCGTTGTTCAGAATGAAAGCAGTTGTTCCTCTCTGTATTTGTTTTCCTCACATCTGGTTTTCAAGGAATAAACACAGAGAGAAGAAGTTTACTGAGGCATACTCACCTAAATACATCATGTATTTAAATTTTCTGTTTTCAGGGCTTGTTAATGTCTTTTTCTCTAGTGTAAATCTTATCCTTCCCTTGATGGCGAGATTCACCTCTTCATAACTTCATTGTACTTCATATGCTATTCAGGCTATCATATCAATTGCCATTGAAGATGGTAATCACTTGCAAGATGCTTGGGAGCATATTTTGACTTGTCTTTCTAGAATTGAGCATTTGCAATTATTGGGTGAGGGTGCTCCGAGTGATGCATCTTATTTTACTTCATCCGAGACAGAAGAGAAGAAAGCCTTAGGTTTTCCTAACTTGAAGAAAAAAGGAGCCCTCCAGAATCCGGTGATGATGGCTGTTGTTCGAGGGGGCTCATACGATAGCAGTGCAATTGGACCGAATGTGTCGCCTCTTGTGAGACAGGATCAAATCAATAACTTCATTGCAAACTTGAATTTGCTTGACCAGATCGGGAGTTTCCAATTAAATAATGTGTATGCTCATAGCCAGCGGTTGAAGACTGAAGCCATAGTAGCATTTGTCAAAGCTCTATGCAAAGTCTCTATGTCAGAATTGCAGTCTCCTACAGATCCTCGAGTATTTAGCCTCACAAAATTAGTTGAGATCGCGTAAGATTTTCTTCTTTTGATACTCTCTCTCTTGAACACGTAGAATGAGAAATAGACATATTGAATACATTAGTCTTGGCTACTGAATTGATTTTTGAGTAAGCACCTTGATAGTCTAATAAGATTTCAACTTGCGAATTTACATATCTCTTTTCTTGCTGTTCAGCCACTACAACATGAACCGCATCAGGCTAGTCTGGTCACGCATATGGAGCATCCTGTCTGATTTTTTTGTATCTGTTGGCTTGTCGGAGAATCTTTCTGTTGCAATATTCGTTATGGACTCACTACGACAACTTTCTATGAAGTTCTTGGAACGAGAGGAGCTGGCTAATTACAACTTCCAAAATGAATTTCTTCGACCGTTTGTCATTGTTATGCAGAAAAGCAGTTCTGCTGAAATTAGAGAACTAATAGTTCGGTGCATTTCTCAAATGGTACTCAGCCGTGTCAGTAATGTGAAATCAGGGTGGAAAAGTGTTTTCAAGGTATATATTCTGTTATCCTAGCATCCGCATATATGTAAACATTTATGATTGAGCTTCATGTTAAGAGGAAAAACGCTAAACCGAAGATATTATGCCAAGTAGTTTATCTGTTTGTGTATATGTTTTTTGAAGGCATGCAATAGTAGTCGACATGTTTCACTGAGTGGCCAATTTCCTTTCAGGTTTTCACAACTGCAGCAGCTGATGAAAGAAAGAACATTGTGGTGTTGGCCTTTGACACAATGGAAAAAATAGTCCGGGAGTATTTTTCATATATCACAGAGACGGAGGCAACAACTTTTACTGATTGTGTCAGATGTCTAATAACTTTCACAAACAGCAAGTTTACCAGCGATGTTAGCCTGAATGCTATTGCGTTTCTACGATTTTGTGCACTAAAGCTTGCAGACGGAGGCCTTGTGTGGAATGAGAAGGGTAGGTCCAGCAGTCCCGTTAGTCCAGTTACGGATGACCATGCACCAAATACCCAAAATTTTATGGAACTAGATGAGAACATATCATATTGGGTTCCTTTGCTCACAGGTAATCTGTTATATTTTTAATCTGTGAATAATACCTCAATTTAAACGCATCACGGAGATTGGGCACCTTACATTTTTCGAATTGGTACATGACAAATTCAGTTGATATTGATTTGCTGGGAAATTAGGAAAGGACATTTCCCTGCATTCTAATCAAAATTCTTATTTTTAATTACAGGATTGTCTAAACTAACTTCTGATTCCAGATTAGCAATTCGTAAAAGCTCCTTGGAAGTGCTCTTTAATATTTTAAAGGATCATGGCCATCTTTTTTCACGAACGTTCTGGATTGGTGTTTTCAGTTCTGTTATTTATCCTATATTTAACAGTGTGTGGGACGAGAACGATCTACTTTCTAAGGATGAACACGGTTCATCGCCATCCACATTTTCTCCACATTCTGATGGAGCTTCTTGGGATGCTGAGACTTCAGCTATGGCGGCACAGTCTCTGGTGGACCTATTTGCCAGCTATTTTACTGTAATGAGGTCTCAACTTTCAAGTGTGGTATCTTTACTTGCTGGTCTTATAAGAAGTCCAGCTCAGGGTCCTACAGTAGCTGGAGTCGGTGCGCTGCTGCGGTTGGCAGACGAATTGGGTGGTCGCTTCTCAGAAGATGAGTGGAAGGAGATATTTTTGGCTGTGAAAGAAGCTGCTTCATTGACATTGTCGAGTTTCATGAAGATACTGAGAACCATAGATGACATTCCAGATGAGGAAACATTGTCCGATCAGGACTTTAGTAATGATGACGTGGACGAGGACAGCCTGCAAACTATGTCTTATGTTGTTTCAAGAATAAAGAGTCACATAACCGTCCAGTTGCAAGTTGTACAGGTATGTATGTACAAAATGTTCTACTATGCAATGAGTTGCCAAGCTTTGGCTCATACCAGCAAACGTGAAGAATGAAGATATTATATAACATATTGACTCTGTACACCTAGAAATGTCGTCTGCTTTACTTTGCCTTTCTCCAGAACAATGATCTGATGGCTGATGCCCTCTCTCTCACCACTATTTTCTCCTGTTTTCAGGTAGTGACCGATCTCTACCGAATTCATCAGCAGTCATTGTTGGCAACTCATGTCACAGTTATACTTGAGATACTCGCATCAATCTCATCACACTCCCACCAGCTAAATTCTGATTTGATACTGCAGAAGAAAGTGAGGAGGGCATGCTCTATCATAGAGCTCTCTGAACCTCCCATGCTTCATTTCGAAAATGACGCGCACCAGAACTACCTGGACGTTCTTCAAGACCTACTAACATACAGTCCAGGAGTGTCCTTGGAGCTAAATATAGAGTCTCAACTGATCACAGTGTGTGTGAAAATTCTGAAGATCTACCTGAAATGCACGTCGTTTGAAGGTGCGGAGTTGGAAGAAACCAGGCAGCCCAAAAACTGGATTCTACCCATGGGAGCAGCATCCAAGGAAGAAGCAGCAGCGAGGTCTCCCCTAGTGGTTGCAGTCCTGAAGGTACTGAGGGGACTGAAAAGAGACTCATTCAAGAGGTATGCACCAATTTTTTTCCCGCTGTTGGTAGAGCTTGTGCGGAGTGAGCACAGCTCCTCACAAGTCCCACAAGTCTTAAGCACCGTGTTCCAAACGTGTATGGATCCAATGATGGGGTGAATAGAATAGGATGGTTATACTTGCGTTGAATTTTGACATTCGAGCACCTAAAGGATAGATTGCGAGAAGACACAAATCCATCATTTCTTCTTTTGTTTTTTCTTCTTGTTTCTATTGGCAGAACAGGTTTCGTGTGTTTGGTTGCTAGTGATGATACAAAGTAATTGATTATTGTTATAGAAGCTAAGAATAGGACGATGAGATTCGGGGATCATTAACGGTTTGTCTGCACTGCCTAAAATCTTCCTTCCAGTGATTGTAAATGCAAAACACGCTTGAGCATAATAGAAATTCCTAAGTAAGTATTGTGAAGGAGGATACACTATTG